AAAGTATCAATGCCTGGGTCCAATCACCCAGATATTATGATTTAATTGCTGTGGTGGGAGGAGGGGGGAGGGTTGTCCAAGCATGATTTGTTTTGTTTTAAGTTCCCCAAGTGATTCTAAGAAGCAGCCAGGGTTGAACACAACCTTTTTCACAGAATTGAGTAAAACAAAGTCCTTAACTTTTATGGAGGTTACTTAGTATGTTAAACAGCTGATAGTACATCCAAGAAATAAATAACCATTAAAAAAGGGTGATATAGACAATATGTGTTGACATACACAAAAAATACACATGATTATATGCACATAAAAGGTCCAGAAAGATACATTATCTCTGCATAGGGTGCAACTGTGAGGGTTCTAAATTTCTTCTTCTGCATTCTCTTACATCATGTGAACATTTAAAATATTAATGTATTACTTTTTTTTTTCAGGGGGAGGGAGGGGCAGCTGGCCAGCACAGAGATCTGAACCCTTGACCTTGGTGTTATCAGCACCATACTCTCCCAAGTGAGCTAACTGGCCAGCCTGAATGCATTGCTTTTATAGTAAGCAAACCCAATAAAGAGACCAAATGATTTCAAACACACAGACCTGAAATCTAGACTAGAAAATGTGAAGGGAGAGACACAAACCTTTTTAGAGAAAAGAGGGAGAAGATATGTTTGGTGTTATAGATAACACATGAGATTACAATTTTCAGAGATTACAAATCTTTGAACCTTGATTTCCATCTATACAATGAAGTTAATCATACCTAGGTTTATTCCTAGGAAGACTAGGAATAATGTATGGAATGGCCTAGATCAGAGCCTGTCCTACAGTAGGTGCTGAGTAATTAGTAGCAATTATCATTTCTCTATATATTTTAGAACAATGGTTCCTGGATCCAGCTACACTTTAGAATCACCTGGGGAACTTTTTAAAATCACAGATTTGCATGGTGCTGATAACCAAGGTCCAGGGTTCAATCAGCATAGTGTTGATAAAAATCATAAATTCTCCTAGGAACTGGCCCCTCCTCAATCCCAAGAGTCTTATTTAATAGGAAGACCCCAGAAACATATATTTTTTAAAAGTTTTCCAGGTTATTCCAATGCAGCTAGCTCAGCACTGATCTGTGAACCACTATTCAGGAAACAGTGCTACAATATAGTCAGGTCACTATGGAGAAAAAAATTAATAGAATAAAAAGTAATACTTATGCAGCTATAAATAGCCTAACAATCCTACAAGGTAGTTTCTCCTATTATTCCCATTTTAAATCCAAGTAAACTGAGGAACATATTGGTTAAGGAATTTAAAGTCCCATGGCTAGTAAGATTCAAACCAATTCAGTCTGGCTGCAGAGTCCCTGCTAACTACTCAGCTCACTTGCCTGGGGGAAATACAGGAATGACCATCACTAAAAGCATAATATAACTAATAAAGTCCACCATAAGGGAGGGAAACAAACAAACAAACAAAAAGATTCCAAACTAAAAAACTGTATTGCAAACTTTATAAAAATAAAAATATCATACACATCTGCTTCACTAATTATACAGCCTTCTCTGTTAATCTACTTACTGTTGGAAGAAAAGCAGGAAATGCTTTCATAGGAACACTTTTGTGAAAGGACCTAGCCTAAAAAGGAAGAAGAAAGGAAACTGGTTTAAAATATTTCTGCAAATAAACATTCTCCCTCTGAAAGTGAACACAAAGCAACACTGGCAGTTTAACAACATGACTAGGACCTCTCTCAAAATCAAAATGTAGCTCATCTCCTGCCGATTAAGATTAGTTTCCTAAGCCTAAAGGACTCAGGAAAAAGTAACTACTATATTAAAAATTCCATTCTTTCTTATGGATTGGCTTTGGCATTTTCCAATTACCTTACAGCATAACAACTTTGACCCTTTAGCTCTGTGGTAAAGGGTAAAGGAAGAAATACTTGCGTTAACAAGTCCCAGCACCTCCCCAGCTTAGACTGACATTATCTCCTCTTTAGATGAATATAAGATCCTCCTAAGTGATCTTGTTTCTGTGCTTCCCCAACTTTTAATTCTTTCCATACAGCCAGCCAAATTAATGTCCTTACATCATTATTTCATTTTTACTTTCTTTAACTTAACTCCCTAGTAGATCAAATCTCAACTACTCATCTTGGAATTCAAAGGCCTCCACATCTTGACTCTAATCTCATCTATCCAACCTAACTCCCTCCTTCTGAGCTATGCACAGCTGGTCCACTCAGGCTATTTACCCAGCCCACTCTTGTCTCTGTCTTTATTTATATTGTCCCTTTACAGCAAGAAAAGCAGATACTCACTGCCTTTACTTCCTGATTCCCTTCTTAATCCACCACACTCTGGTTTTATCTCCAACCATCTACTAAAATTGCTCTGAGATCATCCATGATTTACTAATCACCACAGCCATCTCTTCTCTTCAATCTCTCTGTGGCATGCAAAACTTTGATATTCTCCTTTCTTGAAATTTTCTCCTCCCTTGGTTTTCAAGATGTTGACTCTCAATTCTCCTGCTTCTTTGACCATTCTTTCCCTCTCCTTCCTAAAAAATGGCCCTTTTGCCTTCTACCTAATAAACGGAGGTGGGAATCAAGGTTTTGCCCTTGGTCCTCTTGTCTAGATGTATGTTCTCCTTGAGTAATACCACCCAAACTTAGACTTTTAACCATAAGCCTTTTATACGGATGATTCTCAAATCTATTATCTCTAGTCTTGCCCTCCTTTGAAAGTCACAATCCTGCATTCAGTAGCCCATCTCCCTAAATGTCCTTTAATTCCCTCAAATTCAATTATGTCCAGCAGCTAGTCCAAAGTCTAATGATCAGAACCATGCATACCACTGTATCTCTGAAAGGCAACATCACCATCTACACTTGAACTCTCTGTGCAGCTTTCAACTTTCCCTCTTCCCAGTCTTGCCACAATCCAATCAGTTATCAAGTCTAGTTGACTCTACTAAGTTGTGTACACATACATACACTTTCACACACACACATAAACATCTACCCTCTCTAAATAAGACATTCTTCCTCCTTTTTCTAAACAAGTTTCCTAACTGATTTCCCAACCCCAAGCCCTCATCTCAAACACTGCTACCAGAGTGTAACACTAATATAACTGCTATACTTGATGCTGCTGCTGATGATGAAAACTAACTTATATTTCACTTACTATATGCCAGGCACTATTGTAAACTCTTTATATATGTTAACTCATTTATCTAAATAACGCTTTGAGCTAGGTGCTAAAATGATCCTTTTTTAAAGATGAGAAAACTGAGGCACAGAGAGGTTACGATCACCTGATGAGTAAACGGCAGAGCTAGGATCAGGCTTCTGGTTCCAGAGTCTGCACTCTCATTCACCATGCTCTACTGACTTTCAAAACTCTCTAAAGCTCCATAATCTTTCTTCAGTCCACCACTCCAAACCTATTTTCCACGAGTATTTCACATAACCTATAAACCAGTAGTTTTCAAACCTGGTTGTTTAAAATAATTTGGAAATTTTAATTCCTGGCTCCAACGCAGGTTTACTGTATCAATCTCCAGATAGTGAGGCCTGGAGATTTGTTTCTCTCAGGTGCCTTACATCCATCAACTGGTAATACTCAGGTCCCCAAACAAGTCCAGGGCTTTTCTGCCTTGGTGATTCTATAGTCTTCTCAGACCTCACTCCAAACTCTGCTAGCCTTAAGTAATTTCTCATCTGAACTTCCATGTATTTTATCTATACCTCTGTCACACCAGAGAACTGTATTAAATTCTTGAAGAAATTCAAAAGATCCTTAAAATAGAGTCTTTGGTCTCAAAGAACTTACAATCTGATTATTAATTTATTTAATAAATAAATGTGGGTGCCTATAATGTACCAGGCACTTCAGATGCTGAAGAATACAGCACAAAACCAAACAAAGTCACTTACATCCCATGGAGGGGGGAGGCAATAAACATATAAACTCTCAATATATCGGGTAGTGAAATGTGCTGAGTTGGGTAAGGGGACTGAGAGTGATGGAAAGGGAGGATGTTATTTTAGATAAGGTGGCCAGGAAAGATGTTACTGATAAGGTGAAATTTGAGCACTTACTATGATGGCAGTAGCGAGGGAAGGGACAGGAAGCAGAAAAACAGCAAGTACAAAGGCCCTGAGATATGTAGGTAAATGACCAACTCTTTAGGATCCACTGAAGGTTGGGGAAAAAAAAAAAAAGTTCACAAGAAGAACTGGGAAAAAATAGCATTATGGGAATTAAGGAAATAGAAAGTTTCCACCAAGTCCTCAAGAGCCACTGAAATCAAGAATGGTTCAATGAAAATCAGAAAGAAATAGCATTACGGAGATGAAGGACATAGTTTCAAAAAAGAAGGGGATACTCAACAGTGTCAAATCCAAAAAGAAGACCAGTTAAAGTTTGAGAAGAAATGAAGAACAAACTCTTGCAGAACAACTAAAGTAATATGCGGAAGAAATCAGGAACCAGTATAGGAGCCAAGTCAGAGAATCAATGGAAGAAAAATTAGGAAGCTTTAAGGAGAAAAAAGGGTCAATGGTGTCAAAAAGGAAGAGGAGTTAACAAGAAAGAGTTTTAAATGAGCATTAAATTTGGCAATAAGGAGATTACTTACTAGTGATTATTTATTGGAGTAGGCAGGACGAAGCCAAAGTACAGCATGATGAGCAATGCCAGGGTATAAGGGCCTTGAAGTAACCATGAATGCAGACGACTTATTCAAAAAGCTTAACTGGGATAGAAAAATAAAAACAGAAGGGTCCACAGGCTGCCTGTAAATTCAGAAGGCAGTAGCAACAAACCAGAAGATAAAGGGGGCAAGTTATCAGAGAGGCAAACTGAAAACACCAACTGAGGACTGCTGAGGATGCGAGGTCCTGGAGGAGGGAGGAGAGGCGTCAGCCTTGGCAAGGCAGAAAGATACCCTGTCCTCTGAGAGACACAGAAATGGTGAGTGGACGGAGCAGAGACCCGACCTGAGAAGGCTCAGGCTTGATTCACTCAGTAAAGGGTGCATTCATTTGCTGAGAGGGAGGGAAGGGAGATTTTTAAAAAGTGGGATAAGTTTCCAATAGTCCCTGAAATAAGTCTACAGGGAATTCAATGAAAAATGGAACAAAGACTGCCAAGTTGGGAATACCATAACCATGCTTTAGGAATAGCCACATCTAGAAATGATAATTTCCTAAATGACTTGGCAAAAACAGGCTGCTTACATGCTTTAGGTGCAAGTGCGCCTGGCTGGCAATGTCATATATTACGTCTCTGACATTTTTATCTTGGTTCTTCCGTAGAAAGTCCTCCTGTGAAACACCATGCTGTGAGGGAAAATATATATTATATTAGGAATTTAAAAAGCACACTCAAAACAAACTCAGCTCAAGAAAACAGGTAATAGAACAGTATGTACAGTATAATGCCTATTTTGTGTTTAAAAATATGTGCATATGTACGTGCGTGCGTATATATATGTGTGTTTGTATATACATAGAGACAGAGAAAAAGAGAAAGACAGACACACAAACATATCCCCCCACCCCTGGAACATGCAACAAGATGCTAATTAACAACAGTTGTAGGTGGAACAAAAACACACAAGCAAGAAAACAAACATACAAGAAGTTTCAACAAACAGGCAAATAATGAATCTCACACAGAAAACAAAAGCTCTCATAAACAAGATTTTTTAGTGGATCACTTCCTCCAATAAAATAAAATAAAGAATAGCAAAGGTGAACACTAGGAATAATTACTATAATTGCTTAGAAGGGAGTAAGGCATCAACACAAAGCTCCATCTAATGAAGTTCTCCAGACCATCTTACTCATAGCTCCTCCACTGACCTAAAACACCTGATAGATAAAATTCTGACTCAATAACATGGGGGCAAAACAAGGAAAACCATATGCAGTATGCAAACAAGCATTCCTTTTCAAAACAGTTACGTGAACACACTTACCAAAGAACCAAGAGATAGCCTCCCTCCCTGTATTCCTAAGGGAAACTATCAAAAGGTAAACAGTCACAGTCTTACCAGCATACAAATATCCATGGGAAGGAACACCTTTCTTCTGCTACCATGATAGGGTGTTGCTCTCAAGCAAGTGACAATGCCTTGGGCTTTTCCAATGTGACTTGCAGCATGATCCGCATGAAGATCCTTTATACCTATGATTTCAGAAATTAAACAGGGCTGCTCTGTTCTCTTTAAGTGCATAGCAAATCAATAGAAATAGCATAGAGAAACAACCTAAACACATAAAAGCAGGTGTTTATCCTATGTTTTACATCTTAAAAACAGGATTTATGGGCCAAGCCTGTGGCGCACTCGGGAGAGTGCGGCGCTGGGAGCACAGCAGTGCTCCCACCGCAGGTTCGGATCCTATATAGGGATGACCCGGTGCGCTCACTGGCTGAGCGTGGTGCGGCCGGTCTCCAAAAGGACAAAAAAATAAAAAATAAAAAATAAAAAAAATAAATAAATAAAAGTTGTTTAAAAAAAAACAACAACAGGATTTATGAGGGAAAAACTGGGCAAAAGGAGAAGCCGACCATTTACCACCAGCAGGTATCTGAATCTCAACTTTTAAATAAAAGAGTTTTCCTCAGACCAACAACAACAGGATTTATGAGGGAAAAACTGGGCAAAAGGAGAAGCAGACCATTTACCACCAGCAGGTATCTGAATCTCAACTTTTAAATAAAAGAGTTTTCCTCAGACTACAGCACACCAGGAACACATTTAGAATTTTAATCAGCCATCACATGGAAAAACATTACAAATCTTCCATTTCTCCTCCTCAGTGCAATTTCCACATGACCTCATTTTAAGCATATAATTAACAAACATTCTGTTCTGTGCTCCTCCCTCTTTGCATTGTGATGGCAAACATGTCACCAGAGGGCAGGCAGAACAGGCCTGGGAAATTCAACGGGGACTTGTATTATTCATTTAGTGTGACACAAAGATGTATTACCTTCTTTAAATGAGATGGTATTGTCCTTGGCCCAAATAATTTCCTCATTACAATAAGATCTCACTAACTCAGAACAAAGTCAGAGGAGGAATATTACCATCTAAAAAAATTTTCAAGGCGGTGGGGGAAGATAAATCTCATAAAAACTTTTATAAATGCAGTTTTCTTTTTACATAAGGGAAGCGTTACTGACAGGAAAGAGAGTCAAGCTACAGGCTTTCCAAATTGCAGGAGATGCTATAATAAAACAGTAAAGCCATCTGCAATTACCAGATTATTAATTACAGCACTCCCGTGAGGTAGCTAAAGTACTTGTATGAGAACCTGAGTGCTGGATTAGTCTGTACTCCAAAGAAAGATACATACATACATATATATATATATTTTCCTCTTCTTGCTTAAAAAAAAAAAAGCTGTTCCTTCATAGACATTACCAAGAACAACTTCAGTGCTAAACGGGTTAAACTGTCAAATTATGAAAAAGTGAAATCTCAAAAGTGTTTTATTTGAAAAGAGAAGTATGAAATAGAAAAACAACTTACCCAATATTTCCAGTGTTAAATAAAGAAGAGAGCTCTGTGTGTTTTCGGCGTAATTTTCTAGTTCTTGGATATTATGATATGCTTTGTCATCCAAATTTTTTTCCTATAGTTAAATAAAGAGAAGATGCTTTTTTGGCCCTGAAGAACTGAATAATAAAGAATAAAAATATTTAGCATATATAGTATAGTACACAATAAAATAAGATTAAAATAACATTAAAATGATGAAGTTCTACACATTCAATACTTACAAATCACCCCTCAAAATAATACCTCAGAAATAATCTCAGTGCATAAATCACCATGGTCATGGTGTTGGCTTAAATTTTTATTTATAAATTTTATTTATTTTTATTTGGCAGCAGGCTGCTGTGGGGATCAGAACCCTTGACATTGGTGTTATCAGCACCATGTTTTCCCAGGAGAGCTAACCAGCCAGCCCCTAATTTTTAATTCCTTCTAAAGCCTGAGGTATCAACAGAAACTGATTTTACTTTAGACATTATCTTCTTAACCCTAACAACCCCTCAAGAGATAAAAAAATTAATGTTTTTTTCCATTTTACAGCTGAAGAAAATGAGGCACAGACATATTAAGTAACATTTCCAACATCACATAGCTAGTAAATGGTGGGGATGGGATTCAAACCCACACATTTTGACTCCTGAGCCCATGCTCTTAATGAGGGAAAGGTGCCTAGAAAAGAAAGGGAACAGTAATCGGTGCCCATGCACACTGCCCCATAAAGAAACCATGCTTAATAAAGTAACAGGATTAATTACCTCAATACACTATATTCAAGAAAAAGAAAAATGTAAATCCTAGAGCAAGAACATTTAGCCACTTTCATAATAATACATTTAAAAAGGCTCTGTTGTCAGGATAAAACATTATCCCCCTTTGTACCCCCCTTTTTATTAATCAGGAGAAACTGACACCAGCAATGATCGCAGGAAAAAAATGCCCTTTATATTTTTTTTAATTGAGACATAATTCACATATCATGAAATTTACCTCTTTAAAGAATACAATTCAGTGGTTTTTAGTACACAAAGTTGTGCAACTATCACCAGTATCTAATTCCAGAATATTTTCATCACCCCAAAAAGAAACCTCACGCCCACTGAGCAGTCATTTCCCATTTCCCTCTCCTCTCAGCCCTGGCAAACCACTAATCTAATTTCTGTCTCCATGGATTTGTCTGTTTTGGCCATTTCATAAAAATGGAATCGTATAACACATAGCTTTTTCTGTCTGACTTTTTTCAACTGCGTAATGTTTTCAAGGTTCATCAATGTTGGAACATCTATCACTTCATTCTTTTTAATTCAACAAATTATGAATAACATTCCACTGTATGGATATACCACATTTTGTTTAAACATTTATTAACAGACTATGAGTCCTCTCCACTTTGGGCTATTAGGAATATGTTGCTACAAACACTCAAATACAAGTCTTGTGTTCGACATACGCTTTCATTTCTCTACGGTATAAACTTGGGAGAGGAATTAATGGGTCTAAGGTAACTCTATGTTTAATTTTTTGAAGAACTGCCAAACTTTTTCCAAAGTGTCTACACCATTATATATTCCCACCAGCAATGTATGGAAGGGTTCCAATTTCTCCATACTCTCATCAACAATTGTTACTGTTCATCTTTTTTATTATAGCCCTCTGCTATGGGTTAAATGTGTCCCCCACAGGTTGATGCACTGGAAACAATCTCCACTTTAACAGTGTTAGGACGGTGGGAAATTCTATTATGGTAACTGAAAGATGGGGCTGTTAAGAGGTGATTAGATTGTGAGGACTGTACTCTTGTGAATGGAATAATCCATTGATGGTTTAGTGGGTGGTAAGAGGTGTGGTTCTGATGGCTTTAAAAGGAGAGCAGGTAAGAAAGTTAGCTCTGCTGCTCAGCCATTCACCATGTGATACCTTGTGTCACTGCAGAATCACCACCCAGAAGGTCCTCACCAGATCTGTTCCCTGGACAGTGGACTTCCCAGCCTCTGAACTGTAAGAAATAAGTTGTTTTTCTTTATAAATTACCGAGTTTCAGATATTCTGTTAAAATCAACAGAAAACAGACTAATACACCCTCCTAATGGGTATGAAGTGGTATCTTCTGGTTTTGATTTGCATTTCTCAAATGAAAAGAGTTAAAACTTTTCAGATGTTTATTGGTCATTTGTATGTCTTTGGAGAAATCTCAACTCAAATCCTTTGCCCATTTTTAAATTGGGGTTCTTTTTATTGTTGAGTTGTAAGAGTTCCTTATATATTTTAGAGACTAGTCCTTTATCCCATAATTAACTGGCACATATTTTCTTCCATTCTGTGGGTTTTCACCTTCTTGAAATTTTTAATTTTGATAAAGTCCAATTTATCTATTTTTTCTTTTCTTGCTTCTGCCTTTGGTATTATATCTAAGAAACCACTGCTCAACCTAAAGTCACAGATTGATGCCTTTGTTTTCTCCTAAGAGTTTTACAGTTTCAGCTCTTAAACATTTAGGTCTTCAATCCAGTTTAATTTTTGTATATGGTGTGAGGTATGGGTCCAAATTCATTCTTTTGCATGTGGGTATCCAGTTGTGCCAGCACCATCTGTTGAAAAGACTATTCTTTCCCCTTTGAATTGTCTTGACACCCTTGTCACTCAACTGACTACAAATATATGGGTTTATACCTGGACTATCATTTCTATTCCATTGTTCTATATGTCTATCCTATACCAATATCACATAGTTTCATTACTGTAGGTTTGTAATTAAGTTTTAAAATCAGAAAATGTGAGTCTTCCAACTTTGTTCTTTTTTGTCAAGATATTTTGGCTATTCTGCATCCCTTGCATTTCCATATGAATTTTAGGATCAGCCTGTCAATTTCTGCAAAGCAGAAAGCTGAAATTTTGATAAAGACTGTATTAAATGTATAGATCAATGCTTGATCAAGTCCTTCACTCTTAATACCCCACTTCAAATGCCAAATGTTATTTTTCATTAAACAAAAAGGTATCTCTGTCTTGAGTTCTCTAATTTTCTTTACCTTATAAAAAGAGAAAAGAAGAGAGCTGAAAAGTAGATTTTCTAGTGCTAATTCACTCTGCAGGCCAACTGAGCAATTTTGGGTTTTATCACTAAAGTAATTATCTATTGCTTTTTGGCTTATTACTATAGCCTGTGGTTATTAACAGATTGTATCTAAATAAAGTAAGTAAACTTACAGTTTTATGACAACAGTATGTGATAAATATGAGGCCAATAAGGAAACTGACCCAATAATGTGTCAGAAATATTACACAAGTTAGGCCAGGAAACAGAGCAATTCAGACTTGGTTGCACCTAGATCTCAGTTCTAAGAATTTAGTACAGGATTCCATTTACTGGAACCATCAGACTTTCTTTACTCCCCCTACTATTTGAACACAGATCCAAGTATGGGGTGTACACAGAGGTATGTATATGACTATTCGAGCATTTGGTGATATTAAGATATTATTAGTAATTTTTGAAGGTATAATAATCATATTGTGCTTATGTTTGTAAAAAGTCTTCATCTTTTTAAGATACACATGCATTTGCAGATCAAATGATGACTGGAATTTACTTAAAATAATCCAGTGGAGGTTAGTAAGGGGAACTGGTAGAATGTATATGAAATAAGATTGAATGTGCGTTGATATCAGTTAAAGCTGGGTGACAGATACATGAAAGTATATTACAGTACTCTCTCTACTTTTATATAAGTATGAAAATTTCCATTAAAAAAAACCAAACTAGTTGAGTATGGTTGTGCACACACATGCCTCTGCCTGGGTGTCTATCTTTGCCTGTCTGTCTTAAGATGGAACAGTGAGGGGTGGAGGGAAAAGACATGTAGAGATGAACTATGGATAAAATGGCATAGTTCTATAAAAGTTTCCTTCGTCCAAAACATTAATACATAAATTAAAACATTTCCTCCCTGAAGAATTAGCTTAAAGATTAAAATAGCTTAAAGAAAAAACATAAGATTTGAACAATTTCAACTTACTCTTTCATCAATGATTTTCAAAAGCCATCTTTTAGTCAGATTATGTCTTTTGACAGCCTAAAAAACAAGAGCACTGTAAGTTTTTAGGAAGTACTAGAAATGATTTCTGCAGATCTGAATAAAATAAACAAACCAAATACAAAACTGGATAAGGGAACATTTGTAATGACTCATCACCAGATAGACAGCTGTGTTAAACAAATATCAGAAAAAAAAGGACATGTTCCTAGAAAACATTTCAAAACATTCGCAAGTAATGATAATGTTTCTAATACTTTTCCACTAACCTATCTTTTTTTTCTGTACTATTAATAATTTAACAATTCCATTTTCAAAAAAACCCAAGAATTAAATACTAAGCCTCTCTATTATGTGATGTGCCCTGACTTCTATGCTTACTTATTACAGACAAATTTTTTCCATAAAGATTCTATTGAGCAAAAATAATCACTTCTCCAAAAATGAAGAGTAACTAAAACTCCAACAAAAATTATCTGCAGAGTAAATTGTTATCTTAGCAAGTAAAGACACTCCAGTAGGAAATAGCACACCTAATGGGTCAGAAAAAAAAAAAATAAATGTGAATATACATATATAGGGAGAAAGAGTAAGAGAGGGAGGAAGAAGGAGAGAAGGGGAGAGAAGGGGAGAGTGGGGAGAGAGCACACATGTGAGTTAGCACGCAAAAATGATTAAACAGATGGGATACAATGTTAACAATAGGTGAATCTGGATAAAGGGTATAGAGGAGTTCTTTGTACTATTTTTAATTTTGTAACCCTTCTGAAAGTTTGAAATCATTACCAAATAAGTTTTAAAAACATTGGGTTTTTTGGCCAAGTCAACACTAAGTACAATATATTTTCACAATAAATATTGTAGTGAACATAAAGTCTGAGGGATATCCTACATTTCAACTGAGACTCTGAGATGTCATTGATATTAAAATGTAAAGGCTAGCATGCTCATCAATACACATTTATGTGACAAAGGGTGTAAGTAAGGAGAACAGATCCCACTTGCCGGGCAGGAACCTAACAGAAGCTAAAAGGGATACATGGAGTTAGCTCCAAAATGCTCTCAGCACCAGTACTATTACACAGCAGGACTCCCCATAAGGTCTTCCTCCCAAATCCCAGGAAACAGCCTGTCAATACATACTCTTACTCTAGTTTTATTCTGTATGTGTCTGAGTGGGATAGGCATGCTTGATCTCTGTAACCACACCATTGAGCACCATTCCTGGCAAATAAAAGTACTCAATAAATATTTAATCAATGAAATGTTAAACTCCTATGACTCTTACTCTAGTTTTATTCTGTATGTGTCTGAGTGGGATAGGCATGCTTGATCTCTGTAACCACACCATTGAGTACCATTCCTGGCAAATAAAAGTACTCAATAAATATTTAATCAATGAAATGTTAAACTCCTATTTACTAAATGCTGAAGCTATAACAGCTGCGCTTCCTTGATCACAAAATATAGTTCTATCTGATTCTGAAGGATATCAGTGATCAAAGTAAAAGATCTTTTTAAAAAGCTGAAAATCCACTGAATAAAATATCAACTTTGGAAAATGAAGCCAAGTAGAATAAAAACCTTGGCTATAAACATAAATTCAAAGGGCAGCTAGTATTCATACACATAAATATGCAGAACCCCATACGGAATATATAAGAAATTATAAATATTCAACTATTTTGTACCCTAAAAATACCAACGAAACAGCACAGCAGCAAAGTGCTCTCTGGACAACACCTTATCAGTGTCCCCCTACTTCATGCAACAGCAAGTTTTACTGGAGTCACAATACTCATATGCCCCACCAGAATGGGGAAGGATAGAGAACACACAATGAGAACAATCACTCGGAACACTACCCACTTCTTTCAAATATTTGTATTAACCTTCGACACTGGTCAGAAAGATAGCCAACACTAATCATCAAAATCTAAGGTGCTGTTCAAATTGGACAAATAGGCAATTCTAAACTGGCACATATGTAAACATTTTATAATTAAAATACATCTGCTGGTTTTTTAAGAGAAGCCAAGGAAAGATAAATTTGCATTAAAGGACTCTTCAGTCTTATACTATATTTCCTAACAAAGGCCAGCACCTTTGATGCAAGTCTTAACATAAACCTCAACCGCAGTCAGGTTTGTGTGTAAAATAATAAATAGAAAGGATTTCCAGATTTTAGAGAAACTTTTCTCCATACTAAGTCACCTAGGTTGAGCTTCTTGAAGTGGGATCAATAGAGGTAAACAACTAATCTAATACTCACAGCTTCCCATTCACTTTTTCTTCTCAGTCCCCAATGTGGGGGGAGGGTCTGGCTTTCCATCTTTACTGGGACTCTGTGAAGTCAATCTGGGGCCCAGAAACCAGGCCAGCCTCTGCTGGTGCGCAGACCGGAGAAGAGGTGTACCACTGTCAGGTCTGTCGGTGGCTCCTGTTACAGAAACCCTCTTCTAGCACTCCTCATATTACAACAAGGACACCCATCAGTGACGAAAGGCACCTAATTCCCTTCCACTCTTCATAGTTTAGCATGTTTCTAAACCACGCATGGCTGTTTATGCACGAGGGATCCATATAGCTGCTTTAATATAAAACCATTTACAATACATATCTAGTTATACAAATAATACTCTAGCCCATAAGTTTCCATTATCTAATACCTAAAATTCATCAACGAATAGGCAATTCTATCAAACTAGAAAAGGTAGTTTTAGATTTGTGTCTGGACAATGGTGAGAATAAGTCTCCCTTCACAAAAGATTAATACATGTTGTTTCCCAGCCCAGAGTGTAGATTAAAACATTGGCATAAGAAGCTGCTGGGCAGATAAAAAAGAAAATTTTACCTGCCATTGCCATCAAAATTTTGCAGGGTTTAAATTCTGCAACCAAATACATGAAAAACACATAAGTAATTTATAATATAGAGATCAGATTTTTCTTTTTTCCTTTAATAAAGAAATACACTGAAGATCTCTGCAAATTATCAGTGGATGATTTTGAATTCCTCTGCCAAAACTAACATAGATCTGAACATTACATAAGCCTAAGAATATTTTCAGGAAGATTCCACTATTATCACCACTATTCAAATTGTATCCATCCAAAAGTAGACTCAAACAATATTCTCACAAATTAAAAGTAGCATCTTTTTTTTTTACCTTCCATAGTTCAATAGCCACAGGCTGATGTGGTGGATTGTCACAGAATATATCTTCAACAGTTTTTTTCCAAAACTGCATTCGCATCAGTCCAATTGCTTTCTCAGAGACTGAGTCCTTAACCTGTAAATAGTGTTTAAAAACTTAAACAAATACACTGTTTACAGTAACATAAAATCACTTTTTAAGGGAATTGAGTTAATGGAACTGTTCTATATTGTGACTATGATGGTAAGCATATGACTCGCTACATTTTTCAGAATCTATAGAACTGTATATCAGAAAGAGTAAATTTTACCATAGGTACATTTAAATAAACTTATTCATTCATTAAGTAATTTTTTTTTAAACGTCTTGTTAAAAAGACTGTCTTGCTACTGATTAAAAATGTCCTTCTTAGGTTCAGGCAAGAATCACCAATAGACAGCTAAATCTAGGAGGTAACTTTTGATGAGAACCATGGTTTTAAAATGTCTCCTCAAAGACTGCTTACTAGTAGCAATGGAAAAAATATTAACCGCTTGACTGAGTGACCAAAATTAATATCACCACAGAAAGGAAGATGGAAATTTCATGCCTCCTTGGGATTCTCTGAAGAGGACACACACCACTTAGGCTAGAAATGCACACTTGAATATACTCATGATGAAAAATAAACAAACCCCAGATGAGAACCATCCAACTTTTAAAAAGGGACAGTATTATTTTTAAAAAGTCAATGTCATAAAAGACAAAGAAAGGATATGGAAATGTTCCAGATTAAAGGAGGCTCAAGAGACATAAAAACTAAATCAATATTTGATCCTGATTAGATCCTATGCAGAAGGAAAAAAAAAATGCCATAACGGACATTACTAGGTCATTTGAAAAAACTGAAAGTTAGATGGTAGGTCAAATAAAGGCACTGTATCAATGTTAAATTTACTCATTCATAACTGTACTGTGGTTATGTAAGAGAATATCCTTATTCTTACTCTTACAGGGATAAGGGCCATGGTGTAGTCAAGTTACTTTAAAACAATGGTAAAGGGCCACGAAAATCGATTACATCGTATAACAAAGAATATACTAACTATCCTGATTTGAACATCACATATTGCACACATGTATTGATATTCAATTCTGTACCCCACAGATAGGTACAATCGACTATATTCCAATAAAAAATAAAATTTAAAAAAAAGTTTCTCTAAAATGACTCATAAAAAGAAAAATGCATGTGGGTATACATATATAGATGGAATGATAAAGCAAATGGGGCAAAATATTAACAAAAGGGTATATGGGTATTCTTTGTACTATTCTTACTTTTTTGTATGTGAAATTATAGTCAGCCCTCCATATCCAAGGGTTCCACATCTGTGGATTCAATCAACAGTGGATTCAACCAACTGCAGACTGAAAATATTTCAAAAAAATATTGCATCTGTACTGAACATGTACAGACTTGTTTTTTCTTATCATTATTCCCTAAACAATACAAAATAGCAACTATTTACACAGCATTTACATTGCATTAGATATTACAAGTATCTACAGGAGGTCCTGGAACCAATCCCCCACAGATACCAAGGGGTGACTGTATTTACAAATAAAAAGTTTTTTTAAAAAAATGATCCTGGTGCTGCGTGGGTTTCTTCCCAATGTTTAGTGTTCATATCCCAGTGGCATACAGTACAGCAATATAACAGCAAGAGTAATCCTTTTAAACCATGACTAACAGTTGATGTCCCTCTCTGCTCAGAATCCTCCAGTGGATGCCCATCTCACTCAGAGCAATGCCCAAAGTGACTGCAATGGTCCCCAAAACCTTACCTTTCTAATCCAGATGCCTCTAACCCAATCTCATCCTATGCTCCCTCCCTCTTCTGCTGTACCACAACTGCCTCCTTCTGCTCTTTGAATGCATCAGGCACACCTGCACCTCAGAGCCTTTGCACTTGCTGTTCCTTCTGCCTAGAATACTCTTTGTGCCCATATCTGTACAGCTCCTTCACGTTCTTCAAATCTTTGCTCCAATGTCACCTTCTCAGTGAGGGTTTCCTGACCATGATACATAAAATAGGAACCCCTGCTATACCCAGCCTTCCCTATCCCCCTTATCCTGTTTTATTTTCCATATCACTTGTCTCCATCTGATACATTACACAGTTACTTATTTATTTGTTCACTGTGTGCTGTGACTTTGTGTATTTTATTTAATGCTATACCCCCAGGAACTAAAACAGTGTCTAGCACATTTTGGGCACTCAATCAGTACTTGTTGAATGAGTGAATGAACAAGACTATGTGTGTAAACAAGTAGCAAGGTGGTCCTTCCTACAAAGTGACAGAGAATTCAGGGGAACTTGGGGGTTTATTTACTAAAAAATGGAATTTTAATAATTTAAAAATTATAATGGAAGATTACAATGGGAACTGTTGATGGCTAAACTTTGACTGACTTAACATGCTGGTATACAGATTATACTTGAAAATAGATGAGGTGAAAAAATCATGAGTTCCAGGTAGACACCAGAGGAAAACGTACTCAGTCTGTTAGACTCTGCAGATTCACAGTTGTGAATCTCAGTTGTGCCTCAGTGCTATGCTCACCTCCTTTTGTTTGTTCCTTGTTCACATCCCATCATATTCACCAGAGAAGCTGTGCCAAAGTTTGCCACTCTCTTCAAGACTCCAAACCTTCTCCTGCTCCCTGGCTCCCAGTTCTGACCTCTTCATCTAATTTACTGAGAAGACCAAGGCCATTCTATTCCCTCGTTGCCATCCCCCATTTCAATTTATTTTGTATCTGCACACGTTCTTTTCATTCTAAGAAAAAGAAGGATCTCTCCTTCCTTTGTAATTCCTAGACAAAAGTGAGTAAGATCTAAGGTCTGGGTTTGTTATGATTGCTTCCATTCCCCACTTCACATTAAAGCTAAAACTTCAATTTAAAAAGTGCTTTGAGGGCCCGCCCCGTGGCGCGCTCGGGAGTGTGGCGCTGGGAGCGCAGCGACGCTCCCGCCGCGGGTTCAGATCCTATATAGGAATGGCTGGTGCGCTCACTGGCTGAACGCGGTGCGGGCGACACCACACCAAGGGTTCTGATCCCCTTACCGGTCACGAAAAAGACAAAAAAATAAATAAATAAATAAAAATAAAAGTGCTTTGAAAAACTGCTATATACATGTAAATTATGCAGCTGTTGGGGAGGAAAAGCAACGCGGTGCGGGCGACACCACACCAAGGGTTCTGATTCCCTTACCGGTCACGAAAAAGACAAAAAAATAAATAAATAAATAAAAATAAAAAGTGCTTTGAAAAACTGCTATATACATGTAAATTATGCAGCTGTTGGGGAGGAAAAGCAGTAATACTCTGATTAAATTATTCGACTAACAAATGTGCAATGTTAATTGCATAGTTTTATAGTAATACTCTGATTAAATTATTCGACTAACAAATGTGCAATGTTAATTGCATAGCTTTATAATATCCTCAGAAAAAGAAATAAAAAATTCCAGAATAGCACTTACAAAAACATTAAGTTCATTAGCTAGTTTTATCTTTGGTATTGAATTGTTAAACCTAAATAGTTAGCAGGAGAAGTTAATTACCAGCAGAGACATTAAACACATCTTACACATAAATTACAATTATATTTCTTTATCAATCAGCATTAAACACATTATATAACCATTTTGCAAATAATATTTTAAGGTATCTTAATACCAGCCTGAGCCAGTTCCACATTGAAGGCCCTCAGTGCAAAAGCCGAGTTTCGGGATTCTGCAGGTAGCAGCAGGGAGCATAAATAACCTTCATAATCTCGTTTCCTATAACAAATAGACAAAAAAAAAGATAATTACTCTTCACTTTCCAAACTGCACACAAAAATGCTGACCCAATGAACTAAAAACAGCAAGACTTCATTTCAGAATAGAACTGACATTTCTTATCTCCTACCTGTTCCTCTACAATTATGAAAAATGTATCTGCCCCCAATTCCAGACCACATAAAAAAAGAAATGCTCAATCTCTATTAATTTATTTTTACTTCTACAGTACTTATATTTTTAATTGTTCAGAATCACTTTCGTTTCAGTAAAAATTCAAATGAGCTACAGAAGTAGAAATCAAGTGTAAACTCACAGTTTTTAATGCACAGATAGATAAAAGGTACAAGAGAAACAGAAACCACACACACACACACACACACACACACACACACACACACACACACACACTTCCTAGCAGCATCTGCTGAAAGCACCTAGGAGCAGCGATAACCACCCGCACTCCCAGTATCAGTAAACACACCTATACCTAGATCTTGGTTTCTAAAGCCATTCTCCATTAAAAGAAACTAGGACTCCTTAGAGAAATAACTAACTCCAAGCATAGAGCAGGGAAAGATAGGCCTGAAACATCTTCCTGAGGAGAAAGTAATATTCAAAGAATGGAGACTTGTGAAAAGAAAACAGAAACTGGCTTGACAGAGTTTTCAATGGCCAAGTATGTAGCAATTTGAGCATCAAAAAAATAATGACAGTAACAGATTGTAACAAGACTTCATTAACCTACATGGTATTAATTAATGAATTAATAAATAAATGGAAAGAGAAGGAAAAACTTGACCAGTACAATGCCTCTTGATAAATTTAGAAGACATAATGGAATTTTTAAAAATCATCATCTGATAACTATCATAGTAATAAGTGATTCAAGCAAAAAGCATCAATAAATGCTTGAAAATGTTAAATGGGCAAAAGTTTGATGGAAACAAGATATTTACAAAGTACTGAAATATCTCCCCACAAAGTAAACATTTCTTACTAATTAACACTCTTCTTAATCAAATTTATAGGGAGATACCCGGAAGACACCTTCTTAACCAAGTAATAAAAAGTTAACATCATAGTAATAGGACAAATCCTGAAATATCTCCCCACAAAGTAAACATTTCTTACTAATTAACACTCTTCTTAATCAAATTTATAGGGAGAAACCCGGAAGACACCTTCTTAACCAAGTAATAAAAAGTTAACATCATAGTAATAGGACAAATCAATCTCATGTGCTTCCTAATATAATATACAGAGAAAAGCACAGCATCACTTCTGTGATATTCCTGCCAAAAATGTGTAAATCATGAGGAAACCCAAATGGAGAGAAATTCTACAAAGTAACCAGCCTATTCTCTTCAAAAAGTGTCAAGCTCATGAAAATAAGGAAAGACTGAGGAATTGTTTCACACTGGAGAAGACTAAAGAGATATAACTAAATGTAAAAATAACTTTGGATATAGGAAAGACATAATAGGATAACCAGCAAAATTTGAATGAAGTCTGTGGATGAGATAACTACATTGGATTAATTTTACTTTCCCAATTTTGATGCTTGTACCACAGTTATATGTGAAAGTGTCCTTGTACTTAGGAAATACACAAAGTATTACAGGGAGTAATGGGCATGATATCCACATCTTATTCTCAAAATATTATGATCAGAGTGTTAACAACGAGGCAATCCAAAGAAGAGTATTTTGGATCTGTGAACTACTTCTGTAATTTTTATGAAAATTTAAAATTACTTCTAAATAAAAGATTTAAAAAATATAGACCTTACTATATTCATTCTAGGAAGGAGGCTTAGTATAAAGTACTTACCGGACTGCCTATTGACCAGTCTATTTTACTTATAACACACTGGAACCTTATTATAACATTATTTCCTATAACACAGTATTTAATATAAAATGAGTCCAACCTGTCATGGACCTCATTACATGGAAGTTAGGTACTAAAATTCAGATCACTCCCACCTTTCAATTGGTTCAGGTGCCTAACAGAACTATTTTGTCATGTGCCTAACAGAGAACTTAAACCCTTTCTAGCACTCCCTTGACCATTTCCCCCAATTTCCCCATAAACAAAAGGAAAAGATCATGAATTATAACCCTGCTATCTTAAGACAGCTCTGGTAAAAAGATCTCACTAATTTCACCTACAAAATGGCTCCCAAAAAAGTTTCTAAGGACAGCAAGGGCAAAGCAAGTCTATAGTTTATACTTTCAAATTGTATTTTACTATAAAAAGTCTCTCGACTTCAAAAGTATTTAAAACACTTGAAGTTAACATGAAACAGTGAGAAAACACTAAATAGGAATCAAAACTACAATCTTAACTTCCATCACTCAACTAGTTTTTGACAGAAATGACACCAATCACTCACATCTATTTCCCTGTTTGCAGAAGGACGCTTGATAACTGACACGTTCCACGTCTCCTCAAAATAACCAATATGTGAGTACTTCAAGCTTCTTATGGGAAAATGAAAAATAAAATGAAGACAAAAAAGGAACATTTGGGAAATAAGATACCCTACACAGCTAAAGATTTGCCCTGTTTATTTTTTTTAAATTTTGGATAGAAATTTTACTAAAAAATATTACTCCCTTCTCTATATCAGATATGATATACTAATTATTTAACTATTTCATCACTCGGGATCATTATTATAAATATCAATTTTTGGACTTTGGGTATATAAGAAGGTCCTAAGGAGCAAACCAAGGTCCAGTTACCTGGGAGCTGTCCCAGAGAGTGAGAAATGCCATATTATGGATGTATATCACAGATGGCTTCACACAGCAACAAGGCCAATAAACTCTCATTCATTGATTCATTCTAACATTTATTCAGTGCCTACTATGTGCCAGGCAGTGTGCTAGACACTGAAGATGGGTACAGACTTTAATCTAGTAGGGAGAGACAGAAATATAAGAAACAAGCACGTGGGATGTTCGTACTGCTGTGCTAGTACCATGGACCTGTGATATTGGGCACAAAGGAAGAAGTGGTTCCTGGTGAGGTTGCAGGAGGACGGAGAGCATGAATACACTCTCAGACATCACCACTAACTAGTATCTCCTAATCTCCTTACAATAGCACGAATTCCAAGGACTAAGGCTCCTTGTTTATCCTCCTCAAAACCAAACCCCCCAAAGCCTATGTGGAGAGCATGAATACACTCTCAGACATCACCACTAACTAGTATCTCCTAATCTCCTTACAATAGCAAGAATTCCAAGGACTAAGGCTCCTTGTTTATCCTCCTCAAAACCAAACCCCCCAAAGCCTATGTAAATTAGGTTTGAGATTTTCCCAAGAACCTAGATTCCTAGGACAGCCTAGGCTGACTCACCTGAAGTTATGACCTCATATTTTTCCTGATATTTGGAAGCCTTGCATAATATACATGTCCCAAACAACCCTGCAAAAACAATTTCAGAGGCCAAGTCTTGCAGATTGTTGATAAACAATTAGAAGCCAGGAGTTCTAATATTCCTTTCAAGTTTTTGTTTTTATTTTTAACTACTTAGTAAGCATTTTTTACGTACCAGGACTCTAAGCATTTTTATACACATCATCACATTTAATCCTCACCACCAGGATATAAGGTAAGAGTAGACATTTACAAATGAGTAAAAAACCGAATCTTAAAGTAATTTTCCCAAGTAATAGAGTTGGGAGTAATAAACTCAGAACAGGTCTGCCTACAAAATCCAGGCTTTTTAATAAATCACTAGAGCCAAGGCCTCCATTCCACACAAATAACAACCTGGACAGGTTAAATATCTGGCCATTTGTAAATACATATTTTTGAGAAAAACTAGCATGTGCATGAAATAAAAATAAAGAATTATGTATTTAAATATTTGTAAATCCATAGACTATCACTGGAAGAATACATAAGAAATTTATATTCTTATGATTATTTCTGGAGAGAAAAGTTATGACACTAGTGGATATGGGTGGTATACTCTGGTAATTTGAACTTTTATCATCAAAAAATAAATAACTTTAAAATACATATAAATAATATAACTTTTTAACGTTTTGGCTTTTATAATTCTTACTGCTCTGATTTCCACTATTGCTATCTTGTTTCTCCTATAAGTAATCAGCAAATAAGGTGGGGAATAAACAGAATTAAGTCACTTTTTAAAAAAGTGATTAAAAACAGAACACTGAAATACATGTATTTCGTAATGTTATACTACTTTTCACTAAAATGGAATTTAAAAAAAATTGGAGTTACTTGCCCAGTCAATTCCAAGACAGTATAGATAGTCTAGTACTTCTCAGAAATCCTTGAGAACAGATACTTTGAGACATACACCACTGTTCCCAATGAAGAGCAGAAGGGCAGCGGGGCTAAGCCGTGGGTCTCTGCAGGCAGTTTGATTCTCCCTGCCCCGAGGAGCCAGGTGACTTGATCAATCCAACCCACCTCCACAAATGATTAAGGAGCGACTCTCAACTAACTGCCAGGCCTTCCGAACACTGCGGGTCAAATAAAACACTTCAGCCCCTGCCTTCATGAGCTATTCTATTGAGCCTCAAGCAAATTCCCTAATCTCTCTAAGACCCCGTTTCTTATCAATTATGATTCAATAAAACAGAAAAAGAAAAAAAAAAACCTCACAAATGTACGACAATGGACCTTATAAGTCAGTGTACACATTTAAGGCGATTCCAATAAATATGTCAAACATTCAATCAATCAATCAATCAGTTTTCTGACTATTAAATGAGATAAAAATGACGTAACGTTGTACTCACGGTGCCCTTACTAAGTGCCAGGCACTGTTCTAAGTGCTTTAATCCTCACAACCCTATGGTTGGTCTACATTTGTCTGTCACAATTTGTAATAAGGATTAAATAATTTGTAAACTACTTTGCATAGGGCCGGACACGCACAAAGAACTCAAAGTTANATATTAGATTCGCCCAAGATTTAAGAGGTAGCTGATTCTATATTCCTTTCCCT